GGTTTTTTTTCTTTCCCCCTTTTTAAATCTGTTACCCCAGAGGCGCTCCCACTGTCGCCGATGGGCTGGGCCTTGGCCAGCGTTGGGTCCATCTTGGAGCCGGCTGGCGTTGGCTCTGTCAGAGATGGTGGAAGCTTCTGGCAACTTCTCACAGGAGCCACCCATGCAGCCCCCCCACTACCAAACCTTGCCAGGCAAACCCAGTACACCGGGCTGTGCCCCTCCCAGCTTCTCACTGGCAGGACATGAGAAGCTGAAAAGTCCTTGACTGGTGTAAGCACTACTTAGCAAAGACTAAACCATCAGTGTGTTATCAGCATTATTCTCATCCTAAATCCAAAACATCGCACTATGCCAGCTACTGGGAAGAAAATGAACTCTATCCCAGCCAAAACCAAGACACTGTGTTTCTTCTATATTTCTGTGTTGGGTCCTTTGTTGTTGGAATCTGTTGCAAAACTGAGTAACCGGGTTTAGCTATGGAAGGCTGGTGTGGAAGCATAAGTTGTCTGGAAGCATAAGCCAGGTCAGGCATAAGTTAAAGTTTCCTTTAAGTATTTTTCTGAGCTGCAATAGTATAAACAACCAAGCCGATGCCTTTTACTTAACACAGAAAGGTTTGAATAAGCAACAATGCAGCAGAATTAATAATTAAGGACAAGCAAAAAACAAACAAAAAAGAGAAAGGGTATGGTTCACAAACATTTGGAAGTTATTTGAGAAAACAAAACCATGTTTTCTTCAGTTCAGTAGCGATTACTGTTTTCACAATTCAAAATGATGTTTGAAACCCCTGTGAGGTAACTGTTTTGTTTTGCTGAACAAACTTACTTTTGGAAAATCTATTTTGGATGCTTTTTACTATCTATGAAACATGGAGAGATTCAATGATAGGGGAATCTTGTATCTAAAAGTGTATTTTCTATGCCCCTGAATTTTCTTGTGCGGGATGCTGACCAGCTTCTAAGCAGTTTTGTAGTTTTCTAAATATTTTGTTATTAAGTTAGTATTAAAATGTAAAATTGCTGCCTAAGCCTTTTCTGCTTTTATCATCTGCTAGCTAAACCTGCAGTTTTCACAGTTCCATCACGGTACTGAGTAAGCTACATTACTTTTATTTCAAACAGGAATATTAAAGACGCAATTATTGTGAAACAAAAGCCTTCATATTTAGGCATGCTAAGGACATGAAGTTTTAAATTAGTATTTTTTAAGACTAATAAGTTTATAGGTAATGTTCAAAATCAAATGCTTATATAAACGCTCTGGAAAGTCATTTGCCTTTGATATGCAATGATTCTATGGAATTCTGTGGAGTATGACTGCACGACATTTGCGTATTTTCTAATTGCTTTTAGGAGTGTGTGTCTCCTGATGCAGGTAGCAATGCCCTGTGTGCTGTTTGCTGCTTCCCCATCAGAACTTCATTTAAAAGGTGGGACTAATGCTGAGATGGCTCCTCAGATAGACTACACAGTCATGGTAGGGAGAAATTTCTTTGGCTTGGTGCATCTTTCATGCATATATATGCAATGTAACTACTGTGCTTCTGTTGCTCTTACTGCAAGTTTATTTGTAATTGTGGAATTAGGCATGGGAATATAACATTGCTAGTGTACTGTATGTAGAGAGCAACCAGTGTTTCATGGAACTCCCTGAAACAGCAACTAGTCTGCTTTTAATTACTAAAGAAAATTTCACTTAAAATATATTCTTTATTCTAGACATGCTGTGAATTGTTAAGACTTTCTCTTCTTCTTTCCATAAGGAAATCCTTTTACACAAAGCGTCATTCAGAATGAAGTGTGAGGAATGTCAAATAAGCTGTATGGATGAGACTGGCTATCTTTTTTTTTTCATAACATAACTGAAATTTTTGTGTTGAACTTTTTTTTGGGGGGGGGGGAGGGAGACTGCATAAAATAGTGGGAAATTATAAATGCAAAATAGATTCACTCCGTGTTTTTATATATGCTTGGTTTTCAGGTTTTCAAGCCAATAGTTGAAAAGTTCAATTTCACATTTAATTGTGACATAAAAAAGAGGTGAGTTATGGAGACACGTGGCAGAGGCAGGCCGTGCTGAAGCAGTGTGTGAGCAGAGAGGCACGCACACCGGGTGCCCTTGATCAAGCTGAGGGATGAATTTATGATACATGAACTAATGTGCATTAGCTGCTCCTGCGTGTGCTGTCACCGTATGATGAATGTAATAGGGTTCTCTCGGGTGGTTTTTTTCATTGCTGAGTCTTCAGCTGCTGTTTAATGTTTTCTGTGGGCTACCCCTGCGGGAGGCACGTGCTGAACAGGCAGTACATTACCGAGCGTTTTCTGAGGTGCCAGTTATGTTGGTGTTAGGTAGTTAATAAGATGTGTGTTATGAGGCAATACTGTTAGAGAACCTAATTCTATTTTAAAGATTTCTAAGGCGCACATCAAGAAATTCATATGTACAGTAACAGAGAACATAAAAATGTATAATGAAATCTATGAAGAGCCTTCTGGCTCTTTTCTTGGTTTCCTTGTGATCTTTGCATGTAATTCTGATTACTGTTTCTAAATAGGGGCTACTATCCTCAGGGAGGTGGTGAAGTTGTAGTCCAGATGTCACCAGTCAAAGAGTTGAGCCCAATAAACTTAACAGAACGTGGCACGGTGACAAAGATATATGGAAGAGCATTTGTTGCTGGAGCGCTGCCTATAAAAGTAAGTGCTGATAATAGCTCTGGTAGCATCCGACTTCATATATCTATATA